GCCCCCCCCGGGTATTTAGAGTGCGCACAGCCCTTCTTACCCTGCCCACAGCGAGCCTCAGCCCCGACCAGGAAAAAGCAGCAGCACCTGAGCTTCTCAAAATACCCCTACACCAACCATTTCTTCACTAAGAGCAGGTCTTCTGCTCTCCAGCTGCAGTTGTCCTGCTGGGCACAGGCTTTGACCCCCCCTTCCTGCCATTTTTGGCCTCTCGTCCCCTCAACTCTGCCCCAGGGGCAGCGGGATGGCACTCACTGAGGAGGGCTCCTCCGTAGAGCCGGATGGGAGTCTTGCTGCCCACAGATTCCTCATCAAAGACGGCTTCGTAGAGCTGGTCAGGGAACGCAAGGGCCTGGCGGAGGCAAGGGAGAGACTCAGCAGCCTGAGCCATCAAAACTTGCCCTCTGGGGCAGCAGCCTTTATGGGATGGGAGCTGCTGGCCAGGAAATTGGAACTTAGGGAGGCACAAGAAATATCAGCACCTCAGCTACTGGCTTCGTGACCACTTTCTGTGGCCCAGGCTGCCGTGCCGTGTGTGGTTTATGACCCTGCTAATGAAAACAGGCTCTGGTAATGGGAACACGCTGCCAAGGAAGCCCATTACCGAGACACGGTGAGGGCAAAGGCCTCAAAAGAGAAAGAAAAGGAGGGGGATAAATGCCAGGGGCCGAGGAGCCACCCTGGGGCACCCCTCTGGCAGCCAGGAGGTGGTGGTACCCAGCACCACATCCCTCACTTACCATGATGGCGATCCCAGAAAACATGACGGCGGAAACCAGCTGCCAGACCCTGTGTGGGAGGGAAGATGGAGAACTTGGCATGAGCACAGGGGGCAAAACCATCACTCCCACTCCACAAAGCATTCCTGGCTGCCTGCTTGGTCATCAGCCTCCATCTCCCCTCCCTCGCTCTACCGAGGCAGCCACAAGCCTCTCGTGGGAGGACTGGGCTCCCCAAAGCTCCACCCTCAGCTTTGGAGACACCAGCCTCCCACAGGACACAGGAGCTCCTCCAGCCCCACACAAGCCCCTCCAGCCCCTGTGGCTCCCAGCACTTGCTGTGGGACAAGAGTTTGAGGGCCTCAGGCTGATTTATGGGGGCAGAAAGCAGAACTGGTCTGGTCTTGCGGCCCCCGAAAAGCTCTGGTGCAGCAGCCAGAGCTGTCTAGGATGCTGTGGCCAAGGGCCTTCAGACAACCCAGCTCCAAGGTGGCCCAATATCTTACCTGAGCCCCAGTGGTTCCCGGACAGCAAACTTGATTTCATTTCCCAGCACTTGGCTAATCTGAAATTCAAATAAAAGACACGAGGTGACTGCGCAGGCCCTTCCCCAGCCTTTAGGCAGTACTCACCACCCCCAAAAACGCATACCTAACCCCACCTGGGAGGTGGGGGCTGGAAGGAGGACAAAGGATTCACATGTGTCCCCTTGGTCTCAACACCTGCCAAAGGCTGCCTTGATTTCCATCAGGGGCTGCAGCCTCTACGGCCCCGTACTGGGATCATCCACATGCTGCATGGGGCTGGGGCAGGGTCAGCATGAACTCTTCTCTCCTCTTATCTATGCAGGTAGGAATGGCCTCCTCCCAGACACTGCCTGGGAGGAGACGGACACAGGCTCCAGCAGAGCCCTCGGGGTGTCACAGAACCACCCCGATGGACACAGGCTCCAGCAGAGCCCTCGGGGTGTCACAGAATCACCCCGATGGACACAGGCTCCAGCAGAGCCCTCGGGGTGTCACAGAACCACCCCGATGGACACAGGCTCCAGCAGAGCCCTCGGGGTGTCACAGAAACACCCCGATGGACACAGGCTCTAGCAGAAGCCTCAGGGTGTCACAGCATCCGTCCCACTCTCACGTTGGCACTGCCCAGAGCGACACCCCAAACCACACAGATGGGAAGGCTACACAGACCAGCAACAGGGAAAGGTCCTGGGGCACCCTTTGGTTGCAGAAAGCTCTCAGAGAGCTCTGCACTGTTCCCCACACGCAGGCAGGAGCCAAGCAATGCCCTGCCAGCAAGTTCTCCAGAGAACATCCAGGCCAGTGTCCCACTCTCACATTGGCACTGTCCAGAGTGATACCCCAAACCACGTGGATGGGAAGGCTACACATACCAGCAACAGGGAAAGGTCCTGGGGCACCCTTTGGTTGCAGAAAGCTCTCAGAGAGCTCTGCACTGTTCCCCACACGCAGGCAGGAGCCAAGCAATGCTCTGCCAGCAAGTTCTCCAGAGAACATCCAGGCCAGGGCTCCTACAGAGCTCACCCTTGTCCTCCAGCTCTGGTATTTCACTGAAACACGTTGTTGATCTGCAATCCAGGCCTCTTCCTGCTTAAATCCCCACTCCCGTGTCCAGGCCACCAGCTGGTTGGGCACTGGTGGTGCCAAGCTCCTAAGGCACCAGCTCCGAGCTAGATCATGGGTGTCTCGGCAATACAATTTCAAGGATGGATTAAAGCACCTTGAGGTCAGAGCTCACCCTGTTACCAAGAAAAGCCATTTTGGGCAGCTCCCATGCACTCAGAAGGCTGTGTGGTCCACCACTGCTCAAAGACAGCACTGCTTGTGCCACCACAAGCTTCACCCCTCGCTTTATGGAAGCCCTACAGAACTAGGAGCCCCGTTTTGGCCAAAGAGGCTGTGGAAGTCAGATGCTAAAAAAAAACCACCCAACAACTCCCAGGGCAAACAAAGCCTCAGTTTGCCCAGGCAGAAGACTTTTTTTCTACCCTTACTGTCTTATGTGACAGTTCAGTTGTTCAGTCTGGAGAAGAGAAGGCTGAGGGGAGACCTTCTCGTGCTCTATAACTACCTAAGGGGGGGTGTAGAGAAGCAGGGGTTGGTCTTGTCTCCCAAGTCACAGGAGATAGGACAAGGGGAAATGGTCTTGTCCCCAAGTTGTGCCAGGGGAGGTTTAGATTGGATGTTAGGAAAAATTTCTCCAAGGAAAGAGTTATTCAGCATTGAAATGGGCTGCCCAGGGAAGTGGTTGAGGCACCATCCCCGGAGATGTTGAAAAGACGGGTTGACATGGTCCTCAGGAATATGGTTTAGTGATTTTTTTAGTGCTTAGTTAGGTTGATGGTTGGATTAGATGATCTTTAAGGTCCCTTCCAACCTAGACGACCCTACGACTCTACCGCACGCGCGCTTCCCTCTGCCCTGCCCTCACCTTTGAGCGATGGACCTCGCCGTCGTCATCCTCCCCGCCGACCCCCAGGATCTTGCGTGTCTTCAGCCGGCTCACCAGGTCGGTCTGGCTGTGCTTCTTCATCAGCGGCGGGGGCTGCTTGGCCGCCATGGTGGCCCCCGGCTGCGAGGGGACAACAAGGGCAAGGTGGCGGAGGGGGGGG